GTAAAGGTTGGACCGGTGTATTGATCCACAGAAGAGAAGTGCTTAAACTTGCCTGTGAAATGGGGTCAAAGAAGAACATGTGGTCGAAACCACGATTGCCAAGGATCAATTCACCGATACCAAAGGATATTATAACAAGGAAATAGTTATTATTACAAGAAGCTTCCATGATAGGATCTAGATCATGTCCATGAGCATGAACACAAAGGTTCAAGGTCGACACCCACTTCTTCAATGCATAACCTTTCATTGTACTTCTCGCTTTTGATGAAACTGTAGTGTAGAAATTTATCTGGCAAAACAATAGAAGAGTATGACTCGGTAAAACTTTCGGGTTCATACGGTTTGGGGAAGGCATAGATTCAACCCATCGGGGCATCTTAGGAGCATATTCCACAAATTTCAAGAATAATTAACACAAGCTCGATAGCAGAGCATGCTTGAGAAAGTAGAGGATACAATTTACCAAAGTCATTATGTATCCGAGGAAAGGCTCGCAGGTTTATTGAATATGAAGGACGTTGTCGGGTAAAATCCAACAAAGGATCTAGTGGTCCATAAGGGATTTGATGTGAGCATCTGTACTCAACCAGAGGAAGAAGAATGCAAGGAGATCAGGTTATAGAAACAACTGACGAACTCAAAGCTCAAATGCAAAGGAATTATGATTTCCAAATCAAGGAATCAGAAGCAAACGCTCTGATTAAGGGTGGATAAGCTGAATAGCCTTAGGGGTACAATCGATGGCAATTTGATTGGTTGATATCCAACTCATGTTTAAAATGACGTCTGAGCCGGAAGGATGAATTCTAGGATCTAGTTGAGGATTGCAAGCATTCGCACATAATGAATCAATGGGCTCAAAATGATAGTGGCAAAGGATGCCAATAAGATTACTATACTTATGGGATTAACCATAATGCAAGCAAGCAAGAATTACAAGAGCAATAAGCTGCTAAAGATTTTCGGAATATCGAATATTATTTCAAAGACCCTTCTGAAACACATGAACAACTAGGGATGAGCGATACTCGGTAAGTGAGAGGAATTATCACTAGGGGTATTCTTGTGGCAAGAACTGCAAGGCGGTAGGCACAAATTATTCTCGGAACAATAGTGAAAATTCTGGTGTATCTTGTAATAACAAGATCAACGGGGAATGATTGTATGAATGGCAAGTGCACGTGGTTATCCATAGGGTTTATTGATGGAAGGGAATTGCAATAGCGATGGCACAAGTTCTCGGGATAACATCGGAGAGTATCTTCGGAATCCTTTGGCGCACCAAGCAATCATATGGAGTGAGGGTCTCTCCGGGAGAAAGTATTTTCGAGAACCTAAAGTTATTTTTTTGCAAAATCATTTAACCCGAATAGAAGAGAGATCAGAATCCCAGAGTATAGACGAGGAATAAAAGATCATAATACCACCCAATAGCGACGCGGGCACATGGGCCGCACAGCCAAGTTAGTAAAACAATTTTCATCGACTAGACTCAACTTAGCCAAGGAGTATAGAAGGGGGATTCCTATAGGCAGTCGGCTCTGATACCAACTTGTGACGCCCTCGATTCAATCGTACACTAATCATAGACGCAAATGTGTACGATCAAAATTAAGGACTCACAGGAAGATATCACAACACAACTCTAGACACAAATTAAAATAATACAAGCTTTATATTACAAGCCAGGGGCCTCGAGGGCTCGAATACATAAGATCAAATACACAAGAGTCAGCGGAAGCAACTATATCTGAGTACAGACATAAGTTAGACAAGCATGCCTTAAGAAGGCCAACACAAAGCATCTACGATCAAAAAGGCAAGGCCTCCTGCCTGGGAGTCTCCTAAGTACTCCTGGTCGTTGGCGGTCTTCACGTAGTAGTAGGCATCAACGGTGGCATCTGGCTCCTGGGCTCCCACATCTGGTTGCAGCAACCGGAAAGAAGAAGAAAGGGGGGAAGGGGTAGCAAAGCAACCATGAATACTCATCCAAAGTACTCGCAAGCAAGGACCTACACTATATATGCAACATTATCAAAGGAAGGCTGTATATGTGGACTGGGATGTAGAAATGCCAGAATAGAAGGGAGAACCTAGTCCTATCAAAGACTAGCATCTTCTGGAAACCACCATCTTGCAGCAACAGGAGGGAGTAGAGTAGCATAAAGTGAAGTAGTAGAAGTGTTATCAACCTCGACCAGAGATCCTTTCTCGACTCCCTGCGAGAAAGCAATCCCAGAGCCATGCTATCCAGTTATCATCACAATCCATTTCTCGTATCCATGTCTCATCTCAAGTATCCAGTTCTAGTTGTATCGATCGGGATACAACTCCAAGTGTCCGTTACCGTAGGATAGGATATCGATAGATGTTTTCTTCCCTGCAGGGGTGCACCAACTTACCCACCACGCTCGATTAACTCCGGCCGGACACACTTTCCTAGGTCATGCCCGGCCTCGGCCAAACAATACGCCGCAACCCGACCTAGGCTTAATTGAGAGGCCAACCTATGCCCCCAAGGGTCATGGGTCATCTCCCCGGGAACTCCTGCACGTTGCATACGCGACCGGTGAGCAGACCTAGCTACCTTCTTCAACAAGGTAGGTGCTTACCAGTCCAACCCGGCGCGCACCGCTTAGTCGTTGATGTCTATTAAGCTTCGGCTGATGCATACGACGCAGAATGCCCATACTATGCCCATGTGATGGTTAGTGCTATCAAGCCAGAGGCCCCTCGGATCAAATATCAAAACCGTAGTGGATTAGGAGCACGCGGTAACAAGCATAGACTCACGATCGATGTGACACCATTGCCCCGTCTCAAGTACTTGCGGCAAGGGCTAAGAATGCCTAACCACGCCTCGTAGTTATCTTGCGGGCACCCTCCAGGTCAACCCGTCTCCACATCACTCGCTATTAAGCTCTCGCGGGTACCCCTCAGGGCCTACCCGTCTTTAGTACCATGGTTCAGTGTAAAGACATAGTAACCATAGTAACTGTGTGTCTGACACCAAGGGGAAAACCCGAGGAATCACCCCCGGTGAATTCCACTCGATGTTATCATCAAGGTGAACATAAGAGGATCCACCCTCGAGGTTCACAATTGAGGGGTTGCACGACAAAGCCGTAATGGAAGTGGTTAAGGAGGAAATCACCCTCGATGACCTCGACCGTATAGCTACACTATAGAGATCTCATCAGGAGTGATGTAAGAGGTTCCACCCTCGGCACTTGATGGTAACTCTGCAGGTGATGTGCGGTGTCGGGGCCTGGTCTTCGATCCTTTTGATCGGGTCTTCAATGATGAAGCAGGGGCAACAAGGACAAGGTGGGGGTCACTGATGGATCACTAACCAACATATACTAAGCAGTTTAGGATAAGCAGGTTACAAAAGCAGGCTATGCATCAGAATAGGAGCAAACAATAACAGTATCAAAATCTAATGCAAGCATGAGAGAATGGAATGGGCGATATCGGGATGATCAAAGGGGGGGCTTTCCTGGTTTCTCTGGCAAGGGGGAGGGGTCGTCAACACCGTAGTCGTACTGGGTAGCAGCGGCGTCGGTCTCGGTGTCTAGCGAGAGAAGGGGGAAGAAACAATAAATATTAAGCGAACAGATGCATAGCGATGCATGACATGACAAGTAGCGGTGTTAGGGGTGCCCTAACGCGGTATGAGGTGGTCCCGGTGAAGGGGGGAAACATCCGGGAAAATATTCCCGGTGTTTCGCGTTTTCGGACAGATGAATCGAAGGGGGAAAGTTACGTGTTCGATAGGTTAGGGATGTGTGGCGGAGGAACAGGTTGCGTATCCGGATTCGTCTCGTCGTTCTGAGCAACTTTCATATAGAAAACTTTTTCATTCGGGTTACGAATAATTTCCTACGATTTTTTTAATGTTTTAAATGATTTTCTAATTTTCTGAAATTATTTTAATTCGAAAATAAATTGATACTTAATTGCTAAGTGTACACAGCAGTGGTTTTAGTGGCTGTCAGGTGGGTCCAGTTGACTGCCTAGTCAGCACTCAACTGAGGCCGTTGACTAATCAAAGGGCCCAGGAGACCCGCATGTCATTGCCGGGGTTATCCCAGTCAGTAGTTTGACAGGTCAATGGGACCAATGAGACTCAGGTGTCATTCAAACATATTTTAGCATTTTCTTTTTAAGGGTAAATTTCGAGGAGGGGGGTCCACCTGCCATAGGCTAGTAGCTACTCTAACTAGTAATTAACCTTAAACTAATGGAGCATGGGGCCGGCCTCACACACATAGAACACACACCCGCACACACAATGCTAGGGGTAAATTATGTTTTCTATTAAAAAAGATAGCCTTTTGTGATTTTTATAGGAATTAATCTATGCATTATCTGAAGGAGGTCCAATGGAACAAAATGAAGATTATTACGCCTACTTTCTGCTCATATAATTTTTACCCATGTTAGGACTTGCCTTATCGCTGTTTAGGGGCTGTTTAGAGGGCTAGTGATTTTAGAAATACAAAAGCTAGCTAGTCGCTACAGTAGCATTCAGCAGCAACAGTATATTCAGCCGAGCAACAACGGCATGGCCATGAACTGGGCGCGGGGCGCGGCGCTGCACGGCGCGTGCGTGGACGCGGCCAAGCGTAGGCAGCCGCCAGGACACACGGCGAGCGCGGCCAGAGGCGCAACATCGCGCGCACATGAGCCAGCGCGTGGACGACACGTGGTGGAGCAGCGGGAAGGAGCTAGCGGCATCAGCAGCGGCAACATCGGTGACACCGCATCAGCAGCAAGAGAAGCAGCAGAGCAGGGGACCGAGCAGCAGGCGCAGCCGGCGAGGCTCGCGGCAGGGAGGCACGCGGGGCGCGACCATCACGCGGTGAGCGTGTCCCCGAAGATCGCTGTGGGCTCTCGGCTACGGCGGCTACGGTGATTTAGGCAACGAAACAAAGGGGGAAAACAGGGGAGTCGAAGGAGAGCTCACGTTGAGGCACACGGCGGCCGGCGGGAGCTTAGGAGCGCAGGGGTTCGGCCGGATCGACGGCGAAGGGCGACGGTGATCCAAGGAAGAAGACGAAGTTGGCGAAGATGCTGGTGGTCCTCCTCGTCGATCCAGGGACGTAGTCGACGCAGACGGACGCGGTGGAGCTCCAGAAGAAGATGGAGCGGCGAATGGGCCTCGGTGGCCACGGGTTCGACAGCGACGCGACCATGGAGCTCTCGGGTCTGCAAGGGGAGGACGAAACCGAGAGGGGAAAGCGGATTTGGGAGCTAGGGTTTGGCCAGAGAGGTCGACCGCGACCTTGTAGGGCGCCAGGGGGCGTGGATGGCCGCCCCGTGGCCATCGGCGTCGTCCAGTATCCACGAGTGCCCGATGAACAGAGGAAGGGGACGACCTGGCGGTGGGTTGGGCCTCCCAGCCCTTCCTGGGCCTCCTCTATCATTTCTCTTACTTTTTTTATAAACTTTTCTGTTTTACTTTTACAGAATCTATTTGCAATATTTTGAGCCGCCAATTGCTCTTTTTAGAATGTAGAACTTGGCAACATAAATGCATTACATTAACTGACACTGTCACAAAAGTTTGGGAGGAGTTTGAATTGATTTGGATTTTCCACAAATGGAAAAGAATTTAAGAATGCTGATTTGGTACTATTTTAAATGCTAGAGCGCAACTAAGCAATCAGGTGATGTAGTTTTCCTTGACAGTTAATTATTATGCAATATTTTTAACCCATCGAACATTTTTATTTGACAGTTTGAATAAATATTTTCGCACTTGCAATTTGCATTAGATTTGAATTAAGTGGCAATTAGCATAGTAATTGCGATGACTTGGCATTAAACAAGAGAGATTACTATAGCTTAATTTTCCGATCGTTACAACGAGCCCTGGCCATACGTATGTGCTAGTAGGCGTTCGAGACACTGCCCGTATGTACGTACGTGGCCGTATTTTCCTTCTTGCACACTGGCTGATGTACGTATGTGTACATGCTACGTGCACGCCTCTACTACGACACGTGCGCGCCTCTACATCGACCAGTATGTATGTACACGTTCACGACCAGAATGACAATGCTACATATGCTTCGACCACGTGGGTCCGACTGTCGGGCACTTCCTTGTCTGCGGAGATGTAGCTGGTGGGTCCTACCAGTCAGGGGGCGAATCGTTTTTTTTTTGCCCGGACACGCTTCCTTGCGTGCGAAGATGTAGCTGGTGGGTCCCAGCAGTCAGGGGGAAACTTTTTTTGCGAAATACGGCGGGCCGTCCGATGGGTCCCCGCTGTCAGGTGGAGGAATAATTATTTTGCGCGTAATAAGGAGGCACTTCCTTCCTGCGGCCGTGGACCCAGCTTTCAGCCTCTCCACGAACAGTCCACGTCCAATGGAATCCGTTTCTTGACCATGTTGACCACGCCACGCCGAGAGCACCAGGGCGATGGACGACGGAGAGGCCTAGGAAGGGGACGATGCGGAGCCAGGGAAGAGGCGGCAGTGGATGCCCACGCGTACAGGAGTATGAGGGTTCACTGGTTCGCTGCAGTGTGAGGTTGTCATCGCCACAGAATAACAGAGGATGTGGGTGAGTAGAGGGATGGCCTAGCCAGCGGTGGGAGTAGTAGGGGACGGTGAGGCCTCTGCCGCATCGCAGCCGGCCACGGGAGGCAGGAACACGAGGCATGACCGGCGCTGGTTTGGGCGGCTGGAGCAAGAAGACCAGAGGTTGAAGAAGCACTACAGCCATTGGATGGACATCGTATGACAAAGCCCTCCGTCCCCGTCAACTTAGTAGGACCACAAGTTAGCCTGCCAGTATACTGGGTCCTAGCTAGTAGGGGGAGTATTCATTTTTTTGTGCGTAATAATGAGGCACTTCCTTGCGTGCGAAGATATAGCTGGTGGGTCCAAACTGTCAGCGGCGGTAACATTTTTCCGCGAAATACAGAGGCCCTTTTAGTGGGTCCCAGATGTCAGGTGGAGGAATCATTATTTTGCGTGTAATAAGGAGGCATTTCCTTGCGTGCGGCCGTGGACCCAGTGGTCAGCCTCTCCACGTACAGTCCACTTCAGATGCATGTCGGTCGTCGACCATGTTGACGAGGCCGCGCCGAGAGCACCAGGGCGGTGGACGACGGCGAGGCCTAGGAAGGGAACGACACGAAGGTAGGGAAGACTCGGCAGTTGTTTCCCACGCGGAGGGGAGTACGACTATACGAGGTTTTACTGGTTCGTTGCCATCACCAGAGAATAACAGCAGGTGTGGGTGAGACCTACACGGTAGCACAGCCGGCCACGGGGAGGAGGGAGCAGGCAGTCCCGCCGGCACTTGTTTGAGCGGCTAGGGCAGGGAGAGCAGAGATTGAAGAAGCACGACGGCCGTTGGATGGACATCCAACAGTCACTCCTTGTGCGTCAACCTTTTTTTAGGAAAGCCTCAAATCTGTGGAAAACATCATACATCCCATCTGCCATTATTTCTAATAACTTACAGCCCATTTGCTAATTCTTAAGGTATTTTTTGGAGCCCATATTCTTTTTGTTAGCATTACAGCCCATATTGTGGCCACGGTTAAAAAATTATACAAAATTTTGCATATTTCGGTGCGGTCCGAACTGTTTAGATACCAAAATTTTCAAGTCACATTCAAACTGATTTTAAAAATAAATGTATATCAATACAAAATCCAACAAATTGTCCATGCATAAAAATCAATGCAATTTAAAATCTCGAAATGAAAAAAAAGAAATTCGAAACTAATTGCCGGTTTGATGTGTTTTAAAAATGTACAACCGATTTCTCATTACTGATAGGCCATTTTCTCGGCCAGCCGAATGAAGCTCTCCTCGTCTTGAAAGATTTGCAGCCCAATAGGCCTGACAAAGCGACTTACTTGGCAAATCACAAAAAAACTGGGTTGTGGCCGTGGACCCAGCTGTCAGCCTCTCCACGTACAGTACTCTTACGATGGAAGTCGGTCGTTGACCACATTGACCACGCCGCGCCAAGAGCACCAAGGCGGTGGACGACGGCGAGGCCCGGGAAGGGGACCGCGCGGAGCCGGGGAAGACGCGGCAGTGGATGCCCATGCAGAGAGGAGTACGAGGGTTCACTGGTTCGGCTGCGGTGTGAGGTTGCCGTCACCGCAGAATACAGGGGGTGTGGGTGAGTGGAGGGATGGCCTGGCCAGCGGTGAGGCCTCTGTGGCAGCACAACAGGCCATGGGAGGGAGGAGCATGCGGCACGACCAGCGCTGCTTTGGACGGCTGGAGCAAGAAGACCAGAGGTTGAAGAAGCACTATGGCCATTGGATGGACATCGTATGACAAAGCCCTCCGTCCCCGTCAACTTAGTAGGCCCACAAGTCAGCCTCCCACTATGGTGGGTCCTAGCTAGCACGGGGAGTATTCATTTTTTGTGTGCGTAATAATGAGGCACTTCCTTGCATGCGAAGATATAGCTGGTGGGTCCAAACTGTCAGCGGCGGTAACATTTTTTCGCGAAATACAGAGGCCCTTTCGGTGGGTCCCAGATGTCAGGTGGAGGAACCATTATTTTGCATGTAATAAGGAGGCATTTCCTTGCGTGCGGCCGTGGACCCAGTGGTCAGCCTCTCCACGTATAGTCCACTTCAGATGCATGTTGGTCGTCGACCACGTTGACCAGGCCGCGCCGAGAGCACCAGGGCGGTGGACGACGGCGAGGCCTAGGAAGGGAACGACACGAAGGTAGGGAAGACTCGGCAGTTGTTTCCCACGCGGAGGGGAGTATGACTATATGAGGTTTTACTGGTTCGTTTGCCATCTCCAGAGAATAACAGAGGTGTGGGTGAGACCTACACAGTAGCACAGCCGGCCACGGGGAGGAGGGAGCAGGCAGTCCCGCCAGCGCTTGTTTGAGCGGCTAGGGCAGGGAGAGCAGAGATTGAAGAAGCACGACGGCCGTTGGATGGACATCCAACAGTCACTGCTTGTGCGTCAACATTTTTTTTAGGAAAGCCTCAAATCTGTGGAAAACATCATACATCCCATCTGCCATTATTTCTAATAACTTACAGCCCATTTGCTAATTCTTAAGGTTTTTTTGGAGCCCATATTCTTTTTGTTAGCATTACAGCCCATACTGTGGCCACGGTTAAAAAATTATACAAAATTTTGCATATTTCGGTGCGGTCCGAACTGTTTAGATCCCAAAATTTCAAGTCACATTCAAACTGATTTTAAAAATAAATGTATATCAATATAAAATCCAACAAATTGTCCATGCATAAAAATCAATGCAATTTAAAATCTCGAAATGAAAAAAAGAAATTTGAAACTAATTGCCGGTTTGATGTGTTTTAAAAATGTACAACCGATTTCTCATTACTGATAGGCCATTTTCTCGGCCAGCCGAATGAAGCTCTCCTCGTCTTGAAAGATTTGCAGCCCAACAGGCCTGACAAAGCGACTTACTTGGCAAATCACAAAAAAACTGGGTTGTGGCCGTGGACCCAACTGTCAGCCTCTCCACGTACAGTACTCTTACGATGGAAGTCGGTCGTTGACCACATTGACCACGCCGCGCCGAGAGCACCAAGGCGGTGGACGACGGCGAGGCCCAGGAAGGGGACCGCGCGGAGCCGGGGAAGACGCGGCAGTGGATGCCCATGCGGAGAGGAGTACGAGGGTTCACTGGTTCGGCTGCGGTGTGAGGTTGCCGTCATCGCAGAATACAGGGGGTGTGGGTGAGTGGAGGGATGGCCTGGCCAGCGGTGAGGCCTCCATGGCAGCACAACAGGCCATGGGAGGGAGGAGCATGCGGCACGACCAGCGCTACTTTGGGCGGCTGGAACAAGAAGACCAGAGGTTGAAGAAGCACTAAGGCCGTTGGATGAACATCGTACGGTCACTGGAGCTAGAATCGTTCATATTGACAAACTTGACAAAGCCCTCCATCCCTGTCAACTTAGTAGGCCCACAAGTCAGCCTCCCACTGTGGTGGGTCCCAGCTGGCAGGGGGTATTCATTTTTTGTGCGCAATAAGGAGGCACTTCCTTGCGTGCGAAGATATAGTTGGTGGGTCCGACCTGTCAGCGAAGGGAACGTTTTTTCGCGAAATACAGAGGCCCTTCCAGTGGGTCCCAGATGTCAGGTGGAGAAATCATTATTTTGCGTGAAATAAGGAGGCATTTCCTTGTGTGCGGCTATGGACCCAGCTGTCAGCCTCT